TGCTGGGGGATTGAACCGCGGTCCCTGATGCTTTTGCTAAGCTTGTTCTAAGTAGGTGCTTTAGACCACTGAGCCATCTCTCCAGCCCAGATGTTCTTGATTTACCTAAAAATTTTGTGTCTTTTAAAAAGATCTTGAATTTCCTCATAATTTCTTTCTTTCTTTTTTTTTTTTTTAAATGTTTCCTTTATTTATTTTTTTCTTTTTTATGGTCAGCTCTACCCAGCCTGGGGGCGGGGCTGGCATGGCATGTGGTGCTTTGGATCGAACTGAGGTCTCTGCATGCTTGCCTAATCTTGCCTAAGCAGGCGCTTTAGACCACTGAGCTATCTCGCCAGACCCTCATAATTTCTTAATAGAAATGAATTTGTCTTTCTGGTAAACTACTACTGTAAGAATATGCTTTTATCCTGTCCTACAGTGTGACATCATGAGCCTGTTGTGATAACATACCTGTTAGTCCTAAGCTAAGCCTAGAGCCCTCTATATCCTGTTGAGTTCCAGGGCTCTCTTAGAGGGACTTAGACTATCTCCAGTTTGTTCAGAGCTTTCTTTACTTGGGTAACCGCATTGCCTTTTATAACAGGAGAGTGCTGGAAGAGCAGAGTGAGGAGGACCACGACCCACCAAGGGATAGAGAGACATCCCACAGAGCCCAGATTCAGCAACAGCAGTACTGTGTGGAGGATTTGAAGCAGCAGTTTCAAGCAGAGAAGATTAGAGCTAAGAAGAGGACAGAATTTGATCAGACCTGCACCCATCAAAAGACTGGAAATAGTAGGTGCCCTGCACCCTGAGAAGTGTCTGCCTCACCTTTGGATTCTCGCTTGCGTGCTCCCACAGCCTTCTGTGTTCTCTCCTTTGTTTCCTCTGTGATACAATGGAATTCTTAGCATTAGGTGTTCTCTCCCTTCTTTTAGAGACCAGAAATGCTTGAAAGGGGGCTGGAGGCAAGAAGGAAGCTGACCCCTTGATGGCTCCACAAAATGATGGGTCCTTCCTGGCACATTTGTCCATGCTTTTCTGCCTGTCCTAGAATGTACCTGCTTTTGGGCTGAGGCTGGGGTCTTATCTTCTTTCTCCTGAGTAAGGAGGCCCTGAACCTCTTCTGCCACATTTCCCCAGCCCTTTTACTCTACACGGATCCAGCTCTTGCTGGTGACACTTGAGTCCAAGGTAGCCACAGGCATGGAGGAAGGGCTAACTCTCTCTGGGGGTTTTATTTCCTAGACCAGCAGTGGCTATTTAGAGAAGAAACCTGGCTGGCCAAGTTACAGCAGCAGCAGCAGCAGCAGCAGCAACAACAACAACAACAACAACAAGAAAACAACTTTGGAGCAGAGAAAGAATCTGAGGCCTCTGTGGCACCTGCTGCTCAGCTTCAGACAGATTCTAAGGTTCCACTGACCCCACTGGTCCAAAGCCAGAATAGGCTGGTGCAGCTGCAGAGCTGTGACCCTCAAGCAGAAGAACACAACATCCCCAGAAAAAAGGGCTCATTGCAGATAGACGGATTCATCAAGAAGCAGAGGCTCCTGGAGGTTCAGGAGAGACTGGAGCAGCTTAGAGAACTGTGCTGGCCTCAGGATGACAGCACCCACCAGTCCCCATGCCGGGTCCCTACCTCTGATACCACAGCCCCAGAGCCTCCACCTGGAAGCAGACAGACAAGTTGCAGTTCTCTGAGCTGCCAAAGGCTTTGTAGCCAGCATTTGCCCCTGCTGCACAGGTATGGTCAATGGAATTCATAATCTTGTTGTCCAGACAGTGTTCTTTGCTCTCTATGGCCTTAGTTTTCTATTAGGAAATAGAAAAATACGTTTATTCTACTGTTTTGGGGTTTTTTTTGGTGCTTGCCAGGGAAGCGCTTATTCCACTGAGCCTTCTCCCTGGCCTTTATTCCACTGGTTTTTTTTTTTTTTAATTTTATTTATTTATTTATTTGTGTGTGGCCAGCTCAGCCCACCAGGGGGCAGGGCTGGCTGGCATGTGGTGCTGGGGGATTGAACTGTGGTCCCTGTGCTTTGCTAAGCTTGTTCTAAGTAGGTGCTTTGGACCACTGAGCCATCTCACCAGCCCAATTCCACTGTTTTTAAAATCACTTTTGTTCCCTTTTTGCTTCCCCCCTTTTTTCTCTCTGTTTACATTTTTAGTTTCTGGCTTTTCTGTTCACTTTCTGCTGAGTATCACCTCTTACCTTCTGAGCAAAGCTATCTATCTCATCTTTTAGACCTCAGTGATCCATATAGATTTCCTTATGTGTCCTAACACCACTTCCGCTGCCTCCTGCATCAAAACTGACTTATTCCTCCTGCCATGCTGCCTCCTTCTTCTGCCCTCCCTGATCTGCTACAGCAATTTAGCTTCTTCTCCTTTTTCCTGCCCACTGCAGAGCTGTCTTGTTGACTCCCAGGTTTATGTTAGCATTTCCTTTTTTCTCTTCTCCTTCACTCCCCATCATCAGGCAAAGCGAGGGTGTCTTATATCCTAAACTGCTTGGGGCAGGGCCTGGATCTTGTTCCTCTTTAGATCATCAGTTCTTGACCTTAGATGGGCTCACACAGTGTGTGATGTTGTTTGCTCACTTCTCTGGTCTTCAGGGTAGTAGGAAGCCTTTTTCTTTTAACATTTTATTATGGAAAATTCTTAAACATACACAAAGAGAGTACTGTATATTATCCATTTTCAAGATTGCCCATACTTAGTCTCCCCATTTTGCCATTTTTTCTGAAGTATGTTAAAGCAGCTCCTACATAGCATGTCATTTCAGTCCTACATATTTAAGTACATACTTCTAAAAAGGACTGTAACCACAATGCTATAGTGATACCTTCTAAAATTAAGATGAATTAATATAATCTAAAACATAAGGGGGGCGGCTGGTGAGATGGCTCAGGGGGCTGGTGAGATGGTTCAGTGGTCTAAAGCACCTACTTGGAACAAGCTTAGTGAAGAGCAGGGACCGCGATTCGATCCCCCAGCACCACATGCCAGCCAGCCCCGCCCCCTGGTGGGCTGAGCTGGCCACACACACACACACACGCACACACACACACACACACTAAATAAATAAACTAAAAAAAAAAAACTTTGTTTAAAAAAATAAAATAAAATAAAACATAAGGGGAAGGGAATTTAGCTCAGTGGTACAGTGCCTGCCTGGAAAGCATGAGGTCTTGAGTTTGATTCCCAGTACCCAAAGAAACAAAACAAACAGGTATCTAAAACCTAGACTGTGTTCATAGTTCTCAAGTTGCCTCAAAACATCTCCTTACATTTAGTTTTTGAAATTAATCCAGATTTCCACCCTACATGTGATTTTTTTTGTGATGGGCATGATACTACCCAGAGCCTTCATAGTGAGCTACCTCTCCAACCCTTTTATATTTTTTGCATTTTGAGACAGGGTGTTGCTAAATCACTAAGTTTCTGAGGCTGGGCTTAAATTTGAGATCCTCCAAATATACCCTCATTATAGATCTATCTCTTTGGTTGGTTTTTTGGGGTTTTGTTTTTGTTTTTGTTTTTGTTTTGGCAGGGATTGAACTCAGGCCCTTACACTTGCCAGGGAAGTGCTTATTCCACTGAGCCATCTCCCCGGCCCAGATTTATCTGATTCCTTGTAATAGCATTTAAATTGTTCTTGTTTTCCTCATATTACCTAAAGATGTAGTGAGATGGAATTCAACTTTTAAATTTTTAAAAATCTTTTATTTTTGTTTGGTTCACGCTCTCACTACACAGCTCAGACTAGTAATGATTCTCCTGTCTCAGCCTCCTTAGAGCTGGGAGCACAGGCATGCACTACCACACCTTTGGCCAGCATGGCATGTGGTACCAGGGATCAAACTCAGGTCCTTGTGCTTGCCAGGCAGGCATTTATGCCACTAAGCTATCTTCCCGGCCTTCAACTTCTTTATATAAGTAAAGAAATTTAGGAATACAGTATATCTGGAGCATCTCAGAGAACTAACATTGTAGTCCAGTTTCCCTTTGGGCTTCCCAAACTTTTCTCTGACCTTGAAAACAATAGGAGGACCTGAGGAGGTACCTCAGTAGAATAAGCGCTTGCCTGGCAAGCACAGGGACCTGAGTTCAATCCCTGATACAAAAGACACAGTGGCATCGGACCTTGTTTTTAACCTCTTTTAGAGCAAACTTCTTGTTTCTTCTTTTACCAGGAAGTAGGGGCCTCTTACTCCTTCTGAGATGGTTTTCCTTATCTCCACAGTGTTTTTCTGAATGGGGATCTCTCTACCTTGTTATCACCTATGCCTGACCCTACTCACCAAGTGTCAGAGAAAGTCCCACTGGAAGACCATGTTTCCCCAGCAGCTGCTTGCCTCCCAAGGATGGAATGTCTCCGTAAGAGTGGCTTTTGTCCCTCAGGCCAGGCACAGCTCTGCACAGCCAAGAAAGATACCTCAACTCTAGGTACCCACCTTACCACAAGCCACAAGTCTGTCAACATCCAGGAAATGGAGACAGTGGGTAAGCAGCTCTCTCAGATGATACCGCAGGGGTTAGCATCTCTATGTGAATCCACTGACAATCTAAAGTCAAGACATGGACCACAGACCTTCATCTCTGCTACCCAGGCCAGAAGAGCTAAGGGTCTAACAGACTCTGGCAACACACAGGCTGTCTCACAAAAAGAAAGGAACCTTGGGCTCCATAAGACTGCTAGGGGAGCCAGTTATAGTTACTCTTATCCCCGTGGACCTAAACAGGCAGCTGGGCTTGGAAGAATGGCCAAGACTTTTCCGGTGGAATCCAAACTGTCTTTTCCAGGCCGAGAATCAAAAAGGCTTCAGAGGGTGCTGGCAGCGAGGGTCAGAGACATTGCCAAAAACTACTCTCCTTTATCTCATGATCATCCTTTGAAGAGACAGCACAGTGCAGCAGACCCAGATACCACAGCTTCACATACAGACTCCAGCCCAGTGATGGATTGTTCAAGAGAAGCAGATGATTTATCTGATACAGATAGTAACTACTCGGTGGATTCTCTTTCCTGTGTCTATGCCAAAGCCTCACTGACAGAACCACTGATACCAGAGGACCCTCCAGGAAAGTGGTACCTCCCAGAGTCAGAGAACTCTGAAAGTCACAACAGCCAAATACCTGAGGATTCACTGGTTGAGAAGACAGGCCAGAGCTCCAAAGAAAGCCTAGAGGGCAGTCATCCCAGCAATGAACATAGCCACTTGAAGATCAGAACCAAAGCCTCTATGGGGGGTTTTCCCAAGCCCTCCTACAGTGGCCTGCTTGCTCAGACTCAGAGGAGCTTTTCCTTAGACAGCCTGATTGATGCTGATCGAGAATTGGAAGAAGATCGGCAAGAGGAGCCTTTCCTTGGTTCAACTGAGGAGATGCCCACAGAGATATTTTGGCACCTGCAGAACTCCATTCTGCCTGTAGTGGACCAGGAGGCAATATGCAGACCTGGGTCCATTAGCCACAGAGCAGGGATAGGGCTAAATGCCATCCTGCCAATGAGTAGTTCATTTTACCTTAATTCTCGGGTCCAGCCTGGTAAGGATCAGCCTGAATCAGAGGTGGAGGCCAGCTACCCAGAATGTTCTTTCCAAGACATACAGCTTTCAAGAGAGAGCTCTCTAGTGTCTGTGGATTCCTGGTTTTCCTGTGACTCTAAGATCAATCCTAGCAGCCCCCCTGGGATAGAGGGTTCTTTACTTGTAAGTCCTGATGTCCTGGAATTCCAGCCCTGTGATGAAAAAAGACCTGGATACTTGCAGAATATTAAAGAACTAAAGCCATCAGGTGCAAAAACAGTTCTGCCAGGTAGCTTGACACTGCCCCAAGGCAGTACTGAGCTACCTTGTAACATAGAAGATGTGCACACAACCTCCACTTCTGATATTTCCAAGTTGTCACTTTGGGGAACTCAAAGGCATCTTCGGCCAGGAGCTGATAGACTCTTTCAGGGAAGAGGTAGCCCTGATACAACCCAGCAGGGAAACTCTGAAGTTTCTAATTCTAGTGGGTCAAGTGGACCTGCTGCCTCTGCCACCTCATTCATTTATGTGGGCAGCACCCATGAAGGGAACTGGGCTGCCCTTCAGCAAAAGTGTGTTCTTGAACTCTCTCACCCTGTTTTGGACGCTGTTAGACAGCCCAGGCCACCCTTCCCCTGTCTTGAAGAAGACTCTAGCTCACTGGCTGAAAATTCTAGTAAAGGAGGAGATACACAGCTGCCAGTTGAATCTGGGATCTCCGGCAGTCCAAATTTTAATGACTTTCCAGTCCATCTCTCCAAAACCAGACATTTGAGAGCGGAGAAAGAACAGGACAGTTTGAGTGCCAAGGTGGAAAGTGCTTCAGATTTCTTTAGTAATAGTGAGAAAGAGGTAAGTTGTAATGGAACTTATTCAGCTGACTTGGAATCACTGGCTTCTGGATCTACAAATGCACAGGTTTGTACCAAAGAGAACAAGATAACATATTCCTTAAAAGAAGCCTGTGAAGTCAGACAGAAGAGCTCAAAAGAGTGCTGTCAGGGTAGCAGAAAACCTGGAGTGACAACTTCCTCTGCTACATATGTATTCCAGAAGAATGCTTGTTGCAGGAATGTTACCCAGGCCACCAAAGCAGACTGTTGGCCCCAAGGCCAGTCTCTTCTCAGGAAAAATAGTTCAGTTCAGCAAGAACAATTAAATTACGACAACCACCACTGCCAACAGGAAGAGAAGGCAGATTACCAAAAAAGCTCTGCGGAGGTAGTTGGAAGGCACACAGATGTTTCTTTTACTCTTCCATCAGGTCCAGAACCGTGCCTCCACTCTCCTCCCTCTAATCCTTTCTCATCTTCCCCACAGCCACCTGTCTTGGAAACATTCTATGTGACCAAAAGCAGGGATGCCCTGACAGAAACTGCCTTAGAGATTCCAGCTTGCAGAGAAGTCTGGGTGCCTTCCCCACCTCCCCGGGAAGCCTGGGGCTTTAGGCAGGACCACCAAATCCTAAAGAAAACTTACTTGAACAATTTGCCAGTGCTGTTACGAAGCCAGAGTTCCAAGATTGCCTTTTCTCAACAGGTCACTACAGAGAGGACAGTTGATGTGAACACCAAGGAAGTTACTGGTGACTTAGGAGAATGTGCTGAAAATATTAAAGAAGAAAGCCATAATTTAGTTCCTTTTCTTGTTGCTCAGAACAGACATTTTCTCCCTTTTACTGGCACAGAAGTATGTGAGTGTGAAAATGAAGTTGGAATTTTAAATAAAAAGCACAGTTTTCCAGTATGTAATGAAAGAGAAAAGGCTCCTACACAGTGCTGTTGGAATGTTTCTTCAGACAACACTGGATCTGAGAAGCATTTCCTTTTCATTTGTGAACCTGAGTCAGGTAGGAAAGAAGAACAGACTCAGATTCAGGCCCATGATATCAGCAGACAAATTCCTTTCACACCCAGGTCTGATTTCACCTGTAAAACCACTGATTTACACCTTGAGAAGGACATGCCAGGTGAAACACCTGTTTTTATGAAGTCCAGATCAGTGTGTCATAGAATAAGTAGCCCAGGAATTATAGCCCAGGATGATTGTCCAACCCACAAGTGGGAAGGGAAAAGTGGAACTGGGCCCCTTGGAGAAGCTAGCCATTCAAAGCTTGAACTTTCAGAGAGAAAGTCTACTTGTGAAAAAGTTTTATCTGTTATGTGCTATCAGGAAAGCCGCCCCAGTGAATGTCAGGGCCCTAGAGGGTCACAAGAAATGTTAAACTCCAAAGAAGAATTTTTGGGAAAGAAACAATGTAAAGGAGTTAATAATGCTGATGAAATGGCTAGGCTAATTAGGAGTGTTGTGCAACTGGAAAACGACATCTTAGAAATTGGATCCAAGAAGAATAAGCAGCTTCATGCTTCCCACACACCAGGAGTTAGTGAGGAGGTTGTGGGCCAAGAGAGTGCTGACCATGTCCTGAGGCCAGGAAGCTGTGGAAACCACTTGTCCTGTAAGAATCAGTCATCCTCGCCAAGACAGGCAGGTGATGTTGTCTTTAAGGACAGTGAAGCTGGGAAAATGGAGGCTAACAGAACCACTGGGAATGAGAAACAGGTCCTGAAAATCCCTCCAAGCCCTTTCAGATCAAAGAAATATATACAAGAGAGTCAGACTGTGGTAGAGCATACAACCCTAGCTGGAGTGGACTGGTTCCCCAGGGACACATGTGATTCTTTAGGGAAAGGTGCAGCTTTCAAAGAGCCCCCCAACACTGCTCTTCACCAAAGGAGAATAAAAGCATTGTCTACACCTCCACCTTTGCATCCACTGCCAGAGAGTTCTGGGAAGGAAGTTAGGCTGGTACAAGAATCAGCAAACTTCAAAGAACAGCCTTGGGGCTTGGGAAATCGTGAGGACCTAGAGACTATGGAAGTTCTTCAAGAAAGCCAAATTGCTAAGTGCATAGGTAATTCCAAGCCAGAGGGGCCAAGAGCTCAAGGTGAAGTTGAAGAAATGGCCTTGCAAATGGGAGGGGACCCAAAGGACAAAAGAAATATTATCTCATTGACTCAGAAACATCCTGTCCCAAACCAGCGTTATATGTGCACATATTTTAGACAGGAGACTGCCTCCTCATTACCAAGCCAGACAGATTTTTCCATAGCCCCTTCTAATCGAGACCTGAGCAATAACTTGTCCTTGCCTTCACCAAAGCTGCCAGGATATTGTTTTTATGCCCCTGATAATGAAGGAATTGCTTTAGTTGACCATGTGCTAGATCCCACAATAGTGAAAATTCCTGACAGTCCCTCAGAACATGGAGTAGGATGTGACAGCCAGAGTAGAGAGAACAAAAGCCCCCATCTACAGGGAGACATTAAAGGGGGCTCCTCCACAGCATACTCGGTCTGGTGTGGGGATGTGAGGCCCAGGGTCTTGGGATTGCATGGTCAGCGTAATGCATCAGAGAGTGTTCCCCTGGGGGCAGAAGAGAGGGTAATAGCAAGCCCCAGCCCCCAGGACCAAGGAGCAGACCTTGAAACCACTTCTTTGGGTTTGAGTGCTCAGGAAAGTTATGGCAATGAAACTGAGGCAGCTATACAAAAAGAAATACAAGCCACTTCTTTGAATACAGCCTCTAGGCAACTTGAAAAGAGGGTCAACTTCTCCTTAGAAGAAAGTGATAACCAAGGCGGAGGAGCAAGGTGGAAGACACAGGAGGAGTCCGAGGACTTGGGCCCTATCAGCAGAACTTGCTCAGCATCTGTTTCTGTGCCAAGGGTGCCTGATCCAGAGCCCAGGCTGTTGGAGACATCTGGCCATGCATCCATTTGCCTGGCTATTTTGGAGGAAATCAGACAGGCAAAGATGTGGAGAAAGCACCCTAATGACTTTGGGGCTGGGAGTGCAGTCCTTACTTACTGTGGAACTTCAGTAGAACCTGGATGTTCTTCAGGGGCTTCTGGCAGGACTTACTGTGAGCAAATGGACCAGTTAATGCCAGGCAGGTCTAAGAATGATGGTGAAGCCCCAGAATGCCATGTGGCATCTCTCTCTGCTACACCAGGACAACTGTTGGCTGATGAAAGGAAAGCCCAAGCCACACCTGTCTGTATAGATGGCTCTGGACCTCTGCCCAGCCCTGAAATGAACAGAGGGCCCCAGCTTCTTCCACAGTCTTCCTCTTATGCTGTACCTGTTACAGGCAAAAGATACTCTAGAGATCAGAGGCATTTCCAGGAAGCAAGAGAAGGGTATACAGATCACTGTAGTTCTTCTGGAATCATAGAGAAGGAAACATCCAGAACTTTTTCCGAAACTGTGGAGGCAGACAGGATTGTGGGATCAGAAAAAGCAGTGCCTGCTTTATCTTCTCAGGCCCCTCGTGGTGATCCTGTGCCAATACTATATGGGCAGAGCCAGTTAGCCACATGGTGCACTGTAGAGGGTGTGTCTCCTAGCAGTTGCACTAGCAGCCCAGAGCACCAGGAACCTGAGGCTGTAGGTACTGCATATGAAGGAGGCTCAAGTAACTTCTTAGTTACTGCACAGGGAGGAAAAACTGCCCACTTTGAAAATCAGTCTGTGGTCTGTAGTGTTGAGAATTCAAGCTTTTCAGAGACTAAGCAAGATCATGCCCAATGGCCTGAGGCTTCTACTGGCATAGAAGCAGTAAGGGCAAATCCAAGACATCAGTGTGTGATGGAGGAGAATGTTTGGGTTAGTCTGACAGAAGCCTGTAGGCCTGACAGCAAAAATTTCAGGCCAGCTCCACTGCTAGATCAGAGACCTGGGCCAGACCCTAGGGGAGATGGGGCTCTGTGTGGGGGTTCAGTGGAAACTGAAGATTGCCTGGTCCCCTCTGAGAGCACAGAAGGCAGCAGGGCTCTCAACACAGTGAGGGAGGCAGAGGAAAGTAGAATTCTTCCTTGCCAACAATTGTGCTGTCATCAGACCACCACTATTCACACCTGTTATGGAGATGGTGACCCAGAGATGAATTCCCAGGCTACCTCGTGTCCTGTCCACCCACTTAACATTGTGCCTTCCAGGGTTCATGAACTATGTGAGATAGGAGAGACCTCTTTCAAGGAAGCTGATATACTCTTGGCACGTAGCTGTGAGTCTAAAGGCATGGACCTTGGGCCAGCAGATGGCAGCATGCTTGAGCCCCCTGCTGCAGCTGCTGTCCAATTGTCCACTCCAGGGTGCAACTCCCTTTGCACTTCCTATGTTAGAACACATTCTCTCACCCAGTCAGCTACTGATGGGAGCTTAAGGACTGTAGGGGGTTCTGAGGAAGAGGCTGCTAAGAGGAAAGCTAGCATAGAACTTGAGGCTGCCCCCTGCCCTGTAGGCACATACTCTGAGCCACTGAGGAACCTCGGTGATCATTCTGTAGGTGACCACAATGCACAGGTGTCTCAGACCAAGCTAGAGTCACCTACAGAAATTCAGGGACCACACAACCTGACGTTAAGTGAAGCATTTGTTGGGAGTGAGCACGGATGCTTAGAAAATACCAAATGCCTTTCGGAAAAGCCACAACCTTCCACTGAATCCAGGGATCCTCCAGCCAAGTTTGTAGGGAAACACATCAGTAGTCCTCAGGATGATAATCCTTGGGAAGATGAAGAACAACAGAGAGATTCAGCTTTAGTAAGTGGTGAAGACCTTCCAAAGGGCAGGAATTCTCTACTCACTGATGTGGGTGTCTTAAATGGCTGTCAGATTAGAGGTGCTGGAAGAGAAGAGGTGGCTATGATCAAGTTTCCAGTGTCCCAGACTTTCTTGACAGGTTTTGAAGACCCAGCTTCTGTGCCGTTGGGGCAAAGTAAAGTACCACAACCTGCTGCCGAGAGATCTGGTCAGCTTTACTCCAATGAAAAGCAGCCAAATCCCCATCACAGGTGCTCGCTTCCTGTGATTGCAGTCTTCTCTGGCCCTAAACATTCTAAGCCCAAACCCAGACCTCAGTTCTCAGTGGTGAGCTCCTCTCGATCTCTTCAGGAGCTAAACATTAAGGTGGAGCCTCCTTCCCCTCCAGATAAGAATGCACAGAGGATTCACCGACTGTGGAACCCACACATCCAGGGCTATTCCTCAGAAAAAATGGTGACAGAAACACCTCTGAAGACTGAGGAGTCTATTCCAACAGCCACATCTAACGCGAGTGATGGCCCTACACACCACATGGCACTGAAAGGTGCCACCCCTCCTTATCCACTGTCTTCCACATTGTCTTGCATGCCAACCCCTAATTTCATGAACAGTTGGATGTCTGGAACTTTGGCTCCACAGGGAAAGCCAGAGAAACTGGGTGCCCAAGTTAGGTCAGAGAATGGACAAGTAGACAAAGGAATGTTGTACTTGGGCTCTAGTGATAACAATCCTTACATCCATCCATGGTGCCCTGAGGGGCCTGTGCACATTGGCTGGAAGCATTATGTGTTTGGCAGGGCACTTGATGTCTCCTGTAGCCCAAAAGCCGGTGGTCCAATGTCATCAAATGTAGCCTGGTGCTCCAGTATGGACAACAACTTAGGAGATGACAAACCCCCATTCTCCTCCCACCTCAGCACTTACAGCCAAATCCAGGACCTGTCAAGCACACACAGCAGGACTGAGAATGTACAGGATTCCAATGAGGCCTGGAATATGTGGGGTGCCTCATTTGCCTTGGGCAACATTCTGAGTAGTCCTGACAAGATCCCCCAGTTTAAGAGTCCAACTGATGAAGCAGGCTGTCTAAAAAGTGAGCTCCCTTTGCCTGAAGGAAGTTCTGTAGGTGCAATGGATAAGATTGTGCTGCTTTATCCATCTGAGACTGGCAACCCTCTGGCACAGGCCATGATGAACACCTATGAACAGGGCACACAGACCCAGGGCTGCCAGCTCCACCAGAGCTGTGCTAATGTCTTCTCTGCTCAGCCTGACACCAATGTGGTATCACCATGTGACCTGGCCGCCTGGGCCAGCATGCACAACCTGTCTCTCCACCTCTCACAGCTCCTGCATAGCACCTCAGAGTTACTTGGAAGTCTCTCCCAGCCCAGTGTGGCCAAGGAACAGAACACCAAGAGGGACCCCACAGCTGGGGCCCTACAGGCCCTCAGGATGAACACTGCAACTCAAACCAATGTGGACAAGGACAGCCAGACTGACCTGGCCTCACCTGCTCTGCATCTTCCTGCTGCAGAGGCCAAAACTCAGGAAGTCAGTGTAATCCTTGAAGTGCTGAGCTCAGATGCCACACCAGTTTCTCAAGAAAAGGGAGATGTCACAGGAGCCCTTGATGAGAGAGACATTGAAGTGATGTCATGGAGAGCAACTGTGCCTTCCTATCTTCATGAAAAAAGTGCCTGCCGTAAACTGAGAAGCCCTCCAGTGCCTTCATCTGACTTGAAGTTTCAGAAAACCCCTCAAGAGCAGAACCTCCCTTCTCTTGATGCCTTCCAAGCTGGGGATTCCTCTTGTGTGGTTGTCAACAGCCCCAGCCTAAGCACCTCTTGTACCCCAGAGCCCTTCCCCACTACCTCAGAGCCCACCCAAGAGCCTCAGGTCCAGAGGAGGCTGGGCCCCACGAGCACCTTATTGGTGGACAGGGCGTCCTCTCCAATCCTCACACTTAGTGCTGGCACCCAAGAGCTGGGTCCTCGCCCAGGCCTTTTGACCCTTTCAACTCCCTCAGCCTGCCCTCTGGAAGATCACCAGACACTTGACTTCAGCCCAAGACCTCCAGAAGACAGTTGTTTTCAAGCCACGCATGAGCCAGGTGGCTTCCAGACAGTAGAGGCTCTGGATGGAGGAGGCAGTAGTGGGAACTTATTCCTGGAATTAAGCCCGTCAGGCAGCCCACCACAGAACCCGAGTGTCCAAGTTAGCTTCTTGGCACAGCCTCTTCAGCAGCCTAGGCCCAGGACTACCACTAGAGGCCAAAGCAGCCCACCACTTCCACCCCCAAGGCACTGCAGCCAGAGACTGACTGACAGCTTTGTATCTGAAGAGGCAACTTCCCCAGAGCATGGCCTACTGAGCAGTCATTGGCAGAGCAGGCTTGAAAATGGGGGTGAGAATTCAGCACCTCCAGTAGAGCCACAACTCACTGCAGATCTCTCCTCATCATGGAAAGGCCCCCAACACCTTAGCCCCTGTCCTGGTGCTGAGCTGACTGACCCTGCAGGCATACAAGGTTCCACTGATGGCTCACCTCAGGCCTGCGAACTTCAGGGAATGATGTGTTCCAGTTCCCAGATGTGCGTGGCCCCCGAACATCAGCATTGCACCCTAAGGGAGCTCCCTGTACATAACAAATTTAGTAACTGGTGCGGGGTTCAGCATAACTCTCCTAGGGACCTAGGTGTGAATGAAGCGTTGGAGGCCAGCTCTGGAGAGCAGAAGCAAATGCTCCCACAACCTCATGACCAGCGCCTGGGTCCTGAGTGGTCCCCAAGGGAGCAGATCTCCCTGCAAGGTGGGGCCCAGAGTACCCCACTCAGTGTAGAACTCGCAGAAGCAAAGCTGCACCATGGCTTCGGGGAAGCAGATGCCCTGCTGCAGGTGCTGCAGCAAGGGACAGGGGCAGCACTTGCTCCAGATGAGGCTGCGATGTCCACCTGGAAGGAACTCCATGCACGGTAAGGCCTGCTGGGAGGAAAGGGGAAGGGAAAGAACTTCAGGAAGCTGACTGCAGCTCCTCCTTTTGCCCTGGCTCATCTCTGGCATCTTTCAGGGGTTGGAAGTAAAATGTCAGGTGAGCACACTCAGGGCCAGCTCAGTGGGTCTGTTTTGTCTCAGGCAAAGACAAGCCATTGAGACTGTCAAGAGTGAGCAGGCTGAGCGACTTCAGAACTTCTGTCGGACACGAAGCCTGAGTACCCAGAAACAGTTGAGCCTCCTGCCTAACAGGACTTTCCCCTCCTGGGACCTAGACTTGCCCAGCAAGCGCCGAGAATACTTGCAGCAATTGAGGAAGGATGTTGTGGAAACCACCAGGTAACAGGATTCAGAAGGGGCTCTCTGGTAGGAAAGGGGCTGTTGGGAGCTGGAGTTGGTGTCTGGGAAGCTCTTCTGTGCCTGTGGACAGTGGAAGTGGATGTGGCAAACAGGTGCAATGGGAAAGAATAGGATGTAGAAGGACAGGAGTGGGGAGTTAGGGGAAAGGTGGATGAGGTGGAGATGGATGAGCCCTTCAAGAAGGAGGTGCGGAGCTTTCCTGGGAGGCAGGTAGGGCTCACTCCATCCACCATGTTAGAAGCTATCTTTTGACCCTGTGATTTCCACAGAAGCCCAGAGTCAGCACTGAGTTCCACTCACCCACCCACTGACATGGAGCAGATGCTACGTAACTATCAGCAGGCCCGTGAGGAGGCCAAGGTGGAGATTGCCCGGGCACGGGAGCAGCTGCAGGAGCGGACTGCACAGGAGAAGCTTCGAATCCGCCAACACATCATCTCCCAGCTGCTGAGGGTGAGGAGTGGGGTGAGCCTCAACTTCAGGATAGGTCCGGAGTCTGGGCAGACCCAATCTAAGGCAGTATCACTGTGGCCGCTCCGAACCCAGGGCTGTGCACCTCGGAGGAGAGCATGGCAGCCCTCCTTGGGCTGGGCCTACTGTCTCTCTACACTCTCATCAGATCAGCACCATCCCCATGCCCAGCATTTTGAGCAAGAGGGTATGGTGTATAGTGATATACATAGGGTGTGGAAGGCAGGAGGTGGGAGGCTGGGCTAGGATCTCATGGATGCAGCAGAAGCTGGCTGATGATGACCTGTTCTTCCCAGGAAGAGGAAAAGCTACATGCGCTGGCCAACTCCAGCTCCCCATGCACCAGCTCCAATGGCAGCCTCTCCTCTGGTGTTACCTCTGGTTACAATAGCAGCCCGGCCTTGTCAGGCCAGCTCCAGTTCCCAGAGAGTGTGGTGAGTAGGCAGATGTGAACAAGCCAGGGACCAGGGTTGCTGAGACAGGAGACTTGGCAGGATCCAGGCCTCCTGGGACCCCTGCTGATAGGAGCCCTTCCTTCTCATGGTCTCACCTTTAGTTTTGCCTCTTTCTCCCTCTGTTTATCCATTCTTTCAAGTGTTTATTTTGCAGGTACTGTTTTAGGATACAGAAGTGACTATAGATAAATAATAACCAGCTTATTTTATGATTAAGTTTCAATAAATTACTTGGAAAAGGGGCACTAAACCTGCATAAATAGGGTGGGCTGTCCTTTGGAGTCAGTAGAATCTGTGGAGAGAAAGTGATAATTGGAAGGAGAGGAGGAAAGGAAGAGAGGAAAGATGTAGGCCCTACAAGGAGGGGACAGAGAAGAATGAAATAAAGCAAGTAAGGCAGAGATGTAGAGGGTGAGATGGGTGAAGGACATGAGGAAAGACGTGTTCCAATGATGTTATTTCTCCAAAGTGACCAAGAACTGCTGAAAGTGAGAAAACTTCTAAGAAAGGAAATAGGTGATTTCATAGCAAGATGGTATGGAAAGGCAGAGAGACAGATGGTGACTGCGTGGCTTAAGGGCACTTCCAGTGAAGGTGAATGGGTGTGGATGTTAATAGAAGACAAATAAAGAACTTGATGTGAAAGGAGAGCTGAGACAGAGACACACTTTTGATTTGAACAGCTGAAAGGATGGTGGTCAGTGATGCCAGATACAGGAGGATATCTTCTAGGGAGAGATCAAGATTTCCACTTTCCTACATTGAAGGTGCCTGTAAGAAATTCAGATATAGCAAGTAGATTCAAATAGGCAGTTGGAAAGACAGATCTAGAGTTCCAAGGTAAGCCCTGGCTGAGAACCAGGTGTGGTGCACATTCCTGTAAACCAGCTCTCTAGGGGGCTGAGGTAAGAGGATCACCCCCTGGACAGTGTAGTATCTTTAGTTGCACTGTTATGGCTTCCTTGGAATCCTGAATTGAATTTAAAATGTTAATCCTTCGTAGTCATTTGGACTTTAGGTAAGAGCCATAGGTCACACAATGACACAGCTGGTGCACAAAGTGGAAGGGGATGCACTGATGTCTTTATAAGCCTGCTTTCCCTTTGGATGGCACTGAGCGCCAGCATTCACTGCAGTATTTATCACATGCCGTAAGGACTCAGGAAAGAGGACTACCAAAACTGCTTCAGTGTTGAGAATGATGGGATGGGGCTGGGGAGATGGCTCAGTGGAATAAGTGCTTCCCTGGCAAGCACAAGGGCCTGAGTTCAATCCCCGGTTCCACCCCCCCCCCAAAAAAAAGAGAGAGAGAGAATGATGGGATGAGTGTGTTTGAAATGAGGAGTCATGTATTATGAGGGGGATTAATGGAAATGTTTCTTTTTCTGTATTTTTAAAAAAATTTAAACATACATGGTATTTGTTATAGTTTGTGCCTAATTGTGATCCCAAAGCCTCATGCAGTCATGGGGAAGACTTTCAGAGTTTGTGATTAACTCATGATCAACTGGGATTATGAGTGGAAGTGCTGCTGGGATTATGGGGGTGAGTACTACACACAGCCTGAGGTGGAGAGCCCGAATGCAATTTACCGGAGATAGACTTGCTCTCTGTGGCCACTGTTGTGGCTGCTCCTCCCTTTTATTGTTGCTGTTTTGCTGTCTTCCGCCACCATGAGCTGCTGCCTTCTGCCATGTGCTGCTCTGCCTTGGAGCCAACCGGGTATGAACTGAAACCTCCAGAACCTGTGAGCTGAATAAATCTTTGCTTCCTTCATTTTGATTGTCAGGTATTTTTCCCAGCAATGAGAGAAAAATAACTGAGAATTTTTAAATTGGCCCTTTTGTACAACTTTATCAAGTTGGCCAAAATTAGCCAGATGATGCCAGATATTGGCAGAACTTTGGGGATACAGGAGCTGTGCTTGCATAGGTTATAGGGAACATATATAGAATTTATATATTCATTTGTTTTATATTGATTTTTGAGACAGGATCTCACTGTGCTGTTCAAGCTGGACTTGAGCTCACTTTGCAGCAATCTTCTTGCCTCAGCCTCCTGGGCACCGAGATTATAGGTGTATACTACCATGCCCAGACAGAATTATTTATTGAAACATTATTTGAAGTAGACTCTGAGGAGTATAATTTAATGGAGTCATGTCGGTATTGACCTCACTGTTCTGATTGTTCTAGCTTACTCATTTGAACTTTGTTCATCTTGAGTCCTGAGCCCTGTTAACATGCACCGTCTTTTTTAAATGAATTCTTCCTCGCCTCAGCTGGCATTTTTTTTTTTTACTTTAATTCATTGACCTTTAGTATATATTCATTGTATATATTTTTACTTTAGTATATATATATATATATTTTTTTACTTTAATTCATTGACCTTTAGTAGAGTTGTACATTCAGTTACCGTAGTCTAATTAATTAATTAACTTATTTATTTTGGTACCGGGGATTGAACTCAGGACCTTGTGCTTGCCAGGCAGATGCTTCTGCCACTGAGCTATATCCCCAGCCCCCATAGTCAATTTTAAAGCATTTTTGTTCACCCCCTCAAAAAGAAAGAAACTCTGCATCATTACTTATCTCTCCCCAACCTTACCCTCTCTCGGCCCGAGGCAGACACTAATTTCTTTTCTGTCTCAGGATTTGCCTTTTCTCAGTATCTTTGTATACATGGACTCACATAATATGTGGTCCTTTTGTCCTGCTTCTCTCTCTTAGAATAATGTTTTCAGGTAAAATGAGTTTCCTAGCATCACTGTAACAAATTCTCACAAACCGGGTGGTTTACAACAGAAGAAATATGTTCTCTCATAGAAACCACAGATCTGAAATGCTGCTTTTAAAAAGCTCCGGCACGTGGGCACCACCCCCGCCTTTCCGCGCGCCTTTCGGCATCTTAAGCTTGCAGCTGTGTCGCTCCAGGGTCTGCTTCTGTCTTCTCATGGCCTTCTTTTTTTTTCATGTATTTGGTACAGGGTCTCACTACGCAGCTCAGACTCACACTGATCCTTCTGCTTTCAGCCTCCCCAGTGCTGGGATTATAGGCGTGCGCCACCATGCCCGGACTCCACCACAGGCTCAGTGTACCCTGGGGGCAGGGGTGGGGCTGGGCAGCATGCAGGACAGGGAATGAATCTGGTCCCTGCACTTGCCAGTTACCTCGCTGGCCCTCCCATGGCCTTTTTCTCCTATCCGTGTCTTCTCGTGGCTCTCCCAGTGTCATCAGTCATCAGATGTGAGGCTCTGATTAAATAATCCTTTTATTGGAAATAATTCAACCTATAAAGATTCATTCATGTCATAGCATTACCAGAACTTCATTCATTCCTTTTCATGGCTAAATAATATTCCATTATATGGATGAGTGTGGTGGTACATGCCTATAATTCCAGCACTCTGGGAGACTGAGGCAGGTGGATCACAAATTCAAACTCAGCCTGGGCAATGTAGCAGTTTTATTTCTTAAAATAAAACATAAAGGATGTAATGACATGTGAAAGCCCTGCATTCAATCCCAATGCCCCCCTATCTGGTATATGAACAAACCACCTTTTATTTAGCTATTCAATAGCTAGTAAACATTTAAGTTGTGTCTCTTTTTTGCCTCCTGCTGATTATGGTGTCATGCAAACTCTTTGCTAGTTTTTAGAAAGATCTAATGCCTTCTTTCTCTTTACAATAAATCAAAGTATGCTTTACAAATAAAGCTAATTTGGTGGCTATACAGGTTTTTGTGTGAACATATTTTAATTTTTTTTTCTTTTTTTTTGCTTTTGTGGAACCGGGGATTGAACCCAGGCCCTTGTGCTTGCCAGGGAAGCGCTTATTCCACTGAGCCATCTCCCTGGCCCTTACATGTTTTAATTTCTCTCTCTCTCTCTCTTTTTTTCCCATAATTTTATTGAGAAACAAATAGCAATGAGACAGTTTCAAAC